TTCGTTTTATAATTACAAACGAATTACGGATTATCCAGAGATCCCCTGACCCCCAGTGCTACTTTAGTTGTACTAAAAAACGTTATTTAAGTTCAGTTTTAGTCTACAATCACCTCGCTAACTATAGTTACTTTTATTTTGAAAGTGTTAACGGTTACTTTTGCTTCCAAAAAAGGAATAGACCACGTGACTTCCGTTTTTGGTTTATAAACGAAAAACGAATTCACTGAAATTCAAAGACTCCTCTTCATTCTTTGTTCAAAAAGGAATAACGATAAATTGATCGCCAAAAATGAAAAACGGGCCGTTTTTAATTGGTTTTTCATTTTTTGATTCTGACACCAAAAACGGTTATTTGGTTTTTCGTTTTGAAACAAAAAACAAAAAAACGGTATTTTCGTTTTATAATTACAAACGAATAACGGATTATCCAGAGATCCCCTGACCTACAACACAGCGCTAAGATCCAGTAAAGAAAACATTTGAATTCGCCACTGAAGTAATAACATCGCTGCGAGATCTAGTGAGAAGCATTCACATTTCTCCGATATTAACCGATCTCTATCAGATCAAACAGCGCTGACGTGGAAACCAGGAGAAACATTGTGCCGTGAATGAACTAGTAATACTTTACGACCACAGACCAGCAACATTCACCATGGATCTAATATAGTAACACTAACTGTAACCAGTTTGGCTGGAATAGTGAAATGCTTTCAAGTACTTCACACATCTTTTTCCAGCACTTCAAAACTCAAATATTATATAAATAAATATAAGAGTTCAGATGCAAACGCCTCTAAGTGCCATTTGAAATTTTCTTCTTGAATGATCATTTTTACCAAGCTTGTATATTTAAGTTCAGTAATTTCACTCAAATGACAATTAATAGGTAATCTTCATTGCCATTTAAGTGAAATTACTGAACTTAAATATACAAGCTTGATAAAAAATGATCATTCTAGAAGAAAATTTCAAATGGCTTTTGCATCTGAACTCTTCATATATTTAAATGTTATTTTTAATGTGATGACCAAAACATTATTTATGACTATTTATGATTATTATATATGACACCCATTTATAAACCTGAAAGTTTCAAGATGTAGGAAAACTCACACTTATTTAAAAAATATTTTTTCTTTTAACAAATAGGAAATTTCTCTGGCATTTCTTACTTTTTGCTGTATCGAAAACGTGACTTTAAAACCGAGGTACGTACCGAGAAATACAAATATTGTGTAAGAGTATGAAATTGATTTAAGGAGTGGTCACAAAATATTTCTCCCCTCACGCTGACCAAGATGTGATTCCTCCAGATGTCTGCTCCTTGAAAGTTGTGGAATGTGAGAACTTTGCCAGAGGAAGAAAACATTGATTGAATATTGTCTGAAAATGGGCCTATGTTCTGTGTGCACACCACTGTATCAATCAATGAAAGTGTGGACATTGTCTTTATTGAGATCTCTAATAAAAATAAAACAAAACTTGTAAAGTGAATTTAACAGTCAGATGCTTGAGTACTCAAAATGTATTATTACACTGTCATTTTAGTATTCCAAACTGAGGTGGTTTTGGAGCAGACCCTTAGGATGATTTCCAGGCAGTGGTTAGCCTGGTCCTACCAGACTCTCGTATTTCTCCATTGGCAAACGTTAACTTCCTGGAAGGTGTTTAAAACTATTAAAACTAGCAACAAGAACTACTACTACTACTTCCACTGCTGCTAGTACTAATACTGACTACTTCCACTTTCTCAACTGTTATACATCGTACTTTGTCCAAAGTGACACAATGAAATGTAACAGTGAGATAATAACACTTTTATTGAAACCAGATTTGTCATACACGGATAATGTAAAAGATCATCCTTAAAGAGTCATACATGCATAGCTAAAAATCATTGGTGATTGCCATGATATACCACAGCGGCACACTGTAAACCCCACTGTGTGTGAGAGTGAGTGTGTGTGGTGTGTGTGTGTGAGTGGTGTGAGTGAGTGAGTGAGTGAGTGAGTGAGTGAGTGAGTGAGTGAGTGTGTGTGAGTGAGTGGTGTGGTGTGTGTGTGTGTGTGTGTGTGTGTGTGTGTGTGTGTGGTGTTGAACCAGTGATTGGAGCTCAGTGCAAGGTGTTAACAGCAAAACTAGAGCAGAACACTGGAAAGGGCCCTCCACCGAACTGGACATTGTTGTCCCAGGCATTCATAGGCGGTTGAAGAGTCGCGGATCCAACACTGCCACTGCTCCTCCACATCTCTCCATCACCTTCATCAGCTCTGGATCGTTTTATATCTCCGCAGGAGCCTGTAAAACATAAGAGAGGTACAATGGGACTGCAAAAACAGTACACCATAAAATCATACTACAAAAAAACTACAACCACAGTCATGAATGTGTCCATCTAGACAATCTGGCCGTCTGGCGTTTATCTATGTCTTAGCCAATGAGAGTCATTCAACCTCTAAGCAATGACGTAGCTTAGACCTTGGAAATGGTATAACTGCTGGCTGTGTGTGTGTGTGTGTGTGTGTGTGTGTGCAGGGCCGGCTCTAGGTTATTTGGTGCCCAAGGCGAGAGTGCCCTCCCCCCTCCCCCTTGGAAAAAGCAACTCCACAGTTATTCCATAGTTATTCATTTTTTATTTTAAATGTTCACACAACAACTCTTTACAAGCAACAACCTGAAGGATACAGTAGAAAACAATAGAGAAGCATTAAGATCTCACCTCAAGGAAAAGCAGTTATAGTGTTTTCATTTTTATAGTGTTTTCATTTGGCAAAGTTAGAAAAGATTGTGGGCTATTTACACAAAGAGATCATCTCAAACTCAAACACTTTCCAATGTCATTCAAAACTTAACTCGTCTGGACTTCCTAGCAGCAAAGGCATGTATGGTTTCATCAAATGAAATTTGTTTTGACACTTCCTGATTGATGCTTATTAATGCCAGTCCACTGAGACGTTCCTGAGACATTGTGGATCGCAAATATGTTTTTATTATCTTGAGTTTGGAGAAGCTTCTCTCGGCAGATGCCACAGTCACTGGAGTGGTGACGGCAATTCTCAGTGCTATCCATAGATTGGGATATGCTTCCTTAAGGTTTTTCTCCTCAAGAAACACCAGCAGTTCAAGCGTTGTCATTTTGGGTTTCGGCCAAGTTGGAAAATATTGCATCTCCACAATCAGTTCTTCCGCATCTAAGTCTGATTTCTCTCCAAAGGTCAAGGTGTGGGTCAGTTCTTTAGCTTGCTTCACAAGCTCATCAGCTGGGAGATCAGGGAAGTTTGTGAGAACACTAAACTTGCTAGCAATGTTACCCATCATTTCTGTTCTCTCTCTTAGAGATGAAATGCACACATCAACAACTGCATTGAAAAAAGAAACTTCCATGCTCTTCAGTGCATCACTAAGCTGCTCATCGGGAGCCTCGTAGGAAAACTGCCTTTCGGTCACTCTGAGCCTCTTCTGCTTTAGGGCAGCAACTACATTCATCTCCTCACACAATTCTTTTGCAGAGGATTGTGCATCAGCAAAACCAGTGCTTCTGTAACTGGCAAGGGAGACCTCAGCTTTTTTCAGGAGGTCCACAGCAACATCCAAGTGCATGGTTGGAGACTGCAGCAGTTTGTTGACATTCTGGACTTTTCCTAGAATGTCATACCAGACAACAGTGCAAATGCAGAAGCGGTGTGAACCAACTTCTTCAGCTAGAGACTGTGCTTCTACTTTTATGACTGAGTCTGCTGTGCTGTCTCTCACCTCAATGAGGGCATCTCGAACTTTGGCAGCCTGAAACCTTACAGCCGCCACACTGTTAATTCGGCTCTCCCATCGTGTCCCTGCCCAGGACTTCAGTGTTGTGTTCACGTGCTTCTGGAGAATGGACCACCTTTTAGTGGAAGCAGAAAACAAAGTGAACAGTTTTTGCAGGTAGCCAAAGTAGCCAGTTGCATCTGCAGAGCTCTTTGCTGCATCTGAGACAACTAAATGAACAGTGTGTGCTCCGCACGGCACAAAGAGTGCGCGGGGGTTTATTTGCTGTAGTCTTGCTTGAACACCTGCCTTCTTCCCCTTCATGTTTGCACCATTATCATATGACTGCCCCCTGCAGTCTTCAAATGGGATGCGTAACTCTTGAAGTCTCCCTAAAATTAGGGCTGAAAGGCCTTCTCCAGTTGTTTCTTCTGCCTCAAGGAATCCCAGGAAGTGCTCTTTTATTTGTGGAATACCTTCAATTGAAACAATTCTCAGAATCACTGACAACTGCTCTTTGTGGCTCAAATCTGGAGTGCAGTCTAAAATTATTGAAAAATATTTTGACTGTATGATTTCAGACACAATGGACTCCACAATCCTTTCACCGATACAGTCAATGATTTCATTTTGGATATTTTTTCCGAGGTATGATGTATGGTTCGCTCCTGCTTCCACCTTGGCAACGTGCTCCTTTAGCACAGGATCAAACTGAGCCATGAGCTCCACTTCCTTCAGGAAGTTGCCATTGTTAGGTGCATTTAATTTGTCAGTGGTCCCCGTGAGAGCAATGTTGCGCTCAGCCAATGACTGGATGATGGCGACCAACCTGGTAAGCACTTCACGCCACCGTCTTCTTTCTGCATTTATCAGTGCCGTTTCCACTTTGTCTATTGTTTGGCCTGTTCTTGTGCGGCTCTCTAGCTCCTTCCACAATCCCATGTTCTTGGTGTGTTCTGGACTATTCTCATGCATTTTTAGAGTCTCACTACAGTTTTTCCAGTATTGAAACCCATCCCTACTTAATTTAAATGCTTTCTGGGAGAAGAGCTTGCAACAGAAACAGTATAAACTATCCCTTTTGGGCGAATACATCAGCCACGTTCTCTTAATTTTCTCCCCATTCACTAACTGCCTGTGGACATAGTGGTAATGGAAACTTCTTCCATCCTCACTTTTAGGGAATGTGAAATCTGGTTTTACTTCATAAGGTCCTCGACTAACTAATTCAGTTCTCAGTGCATCAGTCAGCTGGTGTGGCCAGTCAGCAGGATCCACAGGGCCAGCTTGTACAGGTTCACAGACATCTCTTGAAGCTGATGATGTGTCTTCAGGCTGTTGGAGTCTGCTGGTGCTGGGTCCTTCTTCTGTGAGAAAATTAAACACAGAGCAACTTTAAAAATATCTGTAGATGCAATAGTGATGATTTTACTTCAAATACAAGACCCAGGTTTTCAGGTGTTCACTGTGTCCTATAATGAGTAAACTCAGTACGGTTACATGGAAAATTTAACCCACGATAATGTCTTTGTTGTAGTTACTATGCCAAACTATTGATGAAAATGCCATTATGAATTCCAATGAATGTTAATTTAGTATGAACACACAAACTAATGTCCATCATTTTATGCAAATTTACAACATAATTTGACAATGAGAAGTTATTAGAAATATAACATCTTTAAGTAAGAAGACAATTTCAAATGTGTATGTTAGGGTGTCTTCAGAGTATTTAGTATTGATTGTGTGAAAAACAAGTGTCTGGTGTGGATTTAGATAGATTAAGATGGCATATATATCGATTTATGTGATGTGATAATCCGTTTAATTTGAAAAAGACTCACCTGGTTCTTGATGCTGAGATTGTAGCTCAGTGAATGTGCTGCTGCTGCATGATGGCTGGACAGATGCTGCAGCGTAAACAAGAAACAGAGACTGCCGTAAAATGTCATGCTGTGTGTTAGACAGTGTGTGATAGGCAACTCTCACTCCCCGATGTGTCGGATGAAGTCGAAATTTCACTACGCACCCACTTGTAACATAGCTTTCTTCTGATATAATACAAATATTAAATTCATATTTGTATGTGAAATCATGAAAGATCTGTCCTGCAATCATACTCCAAATCAGAAAAAGGCTTACATTCTTCACCGTGAGGTCCAGCAGGTGTAGACAGCGCCGCAGCGTCAACCGATGTCTGTCGTGGCTGCAGATGTTGTCTCATTGCATCTGGACACGATTCAAAAGTAAATTTATTTGGAAAAAGTTGCGAGATACTGTATTGTGTGTATTTAAACATCTAGCAAGGAACTGTGCGTGGTGAGATCAACAGCGGTAACACAGCATGTTGTTGCTGTTAGCTCTAGCTTACCGCAAAAAGTTCCTTTGGTAAATTGATATAATAATAATAATAATAATGCATTTTATTTACTGTTAAGCTGTAAAAAGTTGTTGGTCATCCTCTTCTTTATTATTTATTATGTGGGGGGGCTCTCCCTTGGGGGATCCGGGGGTATGAACCCCCGGGAATTTTTTTTGAAAAATAAACCCATTAAATGGCACTTTCTGGAGAGTTTTGTGCAAAGAAATGGAGAAATTGAGTCTTACATGATATGTGAAAAACTGCAAGATTAAGAGCATATACTTTGCATTGTTGTACATTTACATTTACATTTATTCATTTAGCTGACGCTTTTATCCAAAGCGACTTACAATTGCTATATATGTCAGAGGTCGCACGCCTCTGGAGCAACTAGGGGTTCAGTGTCTTGCTCAGGGACACATTGGTGTCTCACAGTTTTTTACCAATGCATTACACCAGCACTAACCCAGCGCCGCCGATTAAGCAAAACAAAACAAAACGAATGGGCTATTTCTATTTTAGCTCCCGGCCGCCTTTTTGCTTTATCCATCTTTTTCAACAACAACTCACTACTCGTGCCTGTTCGCTCAGCGCTCACGGCGCCCGCTCGCGATATTATTGGAGGGGGGTCCCCTGTCATAATTCTATGATGAAATCTTATGAGGGCGCCTACTCTCCGCTACACATACCGGCGGTATACCCACTTTTTGCTGAGCCCCGGAGAGCCCCGGCCCAATTTAACCACTGGCTGTGAGCTTGATGATATAGTCTACATACCTCTGCTTTGGGCCCGTTTTTCTTCCTCCTCCTTCCTTCGTTTTCGGAAAGCCGATCCCGATGGCTTGGGTGTTCTTTTCATAATAAAGATTATATAATATATGATCATTTATAGCCTACAACCGCCAAGGGGCGTTTAAAGCGCATTTAAAGCGCTAAAACCAGCTGTCAGATGTTTTCGCGCCACTCCCGGTTGCTGAGCAACGCGCGTGAGTTTGACAGCTGCCTGTCAGAGTGACTCAGTCGTTTTTTAGGATTGTATAATCTAGTAAAAGAAATGGACAAATACAAGCAGTGTGTGGACAGTGCACAGTAAAAGTGTACAGCGTGTGCGCAGCTTTCATAATACGATACATAGATACATTTAATTCACTTTTTTCTTTTTTAATTCTGCAATTTTGCGCCCTGTCCAGCAGATGGCGCCCCAGGCGGCCGCCTGTGTCGCCTGTCGGCAAAGCCGGCCCTGTGTGTGTGTGTGGTGAAGGGTATAACTGCTGTGATCTTTGTAACTGTAATGGAGGAGGCCTATGAACTCCTGTGTGAGTCTTGAAGCTGACTTCTGCTGATGAAACTGCAAACTATCGTCAGTAAAACTTTTCTTTAATTTATTATAATTCTTCATTCTTCATATCCGGTTCTGGGTCTTTGACTGTATACCCCTTACACTATGAACCCATTTCCCTTGGGTTGCAGAACTCCGTTATCATCACTAACAACTTTAAAATCCAGCTGGCTCAAGTTGCCAGTGCCAGACACAAGCACAGTCACACCTGCAATAAATCTATCTATCTATCTATCTATCTATCTATCTATCTATCTATCTATCTATCTATCTATCTATCTATCTATCTATCTATCTATCTATCACATTGTATTGTAATATGGTTTATAACAGACTACCATATATTCAAGATATAAACACTGTTCACCAACCAGAGATGGCTTAGAAGCCAAAAGACACCCATCTAGACACCATAACACAGTAATAACAATAGTATCTATGTTTTAAGTCACCCAGTAATTATGCCTGTAGTATTATGTAGGAAAAATAAACCCACCTCTGGAGGTTTGTCTCCTCTTCTTCACCAGGATGTTTAATTGCTGGATCTGCAAGAAAATGACAGTGGGATTGCATGAGACCAATAGGACTGAATGCACTATTCTACCTAGTGTTTACCTGTTTGTTAATACTTTTTAAAAATGTTGTGGCAGAAGAATTGGACCAACATCCAGTATTGTTGGCTGGCTTTCAGTTTTCAATTCCTACCACTGGACATGAAGACTCCTCTCCTCTGTCAACCACAGCAGCCTCTCCAGTTTTTTGGGGGGCTTTGAACAGTTTTTTTAATTGCTGGATCTATGAGTAAGCATGACAATATGATATTTAGACATGCACCAATTACTCAACTTTTGACTGAATCAGTCATTTTTCACGTGATTTGCTGTGACCAGTTGTGTTTGCTGTACAGTAGTTCAAAACAATGATAATTGGCCAAATTTGGTATAGGCAGGTCAAACTCTATGAAAAATCGGAAATTGAAAACGCACCAGAAAATGGCAACAGGTGCGTGTCTAATGACATTAACTGCATCAATCAAAACCATAAGCTGCGTCCCAATTCGCCTACTTATACTACGCCCTAAAAGTATGTACTCTTTTTGTGAAGAAAAAGTACATACTTTTGAGTGTGTAGCAAAAGAGTAGAGATGGTCCTCACTGCAGAACACGGATCCAGATCCAACTCCACCCACCTTACATATACCTAAACCTACCCATTTCCACCCCCTGATCCCTAACCCCACCCCTAATCCCTAAACCCACCCCTTAGATCTGGATCCAACTCCGCCCCCTGGATCTCGTGTACTGCAATGAGGTGCTACTGAAAGAGTAGGCAAGCTTTGGGACATACTACATCTTTAACGGACAGCTCTGTCACGTGCATCCTGTCACCGTAACTGCCCTGTCAATCATCTCGTCAGTTAAAATCCTCCATTCAATCTAATTTAATTCCCTACCGTTTCAGAGAAAAATGTTGTAGCACGTTCATCTGCCAGTCGTGGGTCTTTCATGCGAAGACTCTCCTCGTGTGTTTGCAATTCGAATGTAATGATGCATTTAAAAGTTAATGGCTAACGTATCTTTACAAAAGTTCAATACTGCTGCAGATGCAATATAATGTAGACAACATTAAATAAATACATTATCGTCAGGTTAGATACTGATAATGAATCACTCAAACCCCTTTATCTAAACCTCTCTACACAACCGCCGGACTCGCGCGTCTGTGTCCATGTCTGTAGTGGTTTTTTTTACACTTTTGTGGTTCGTATTTATAGTTCTAACCGAATCCTCGTCCAACGCGCGATGGGTTGTGGGCAATATCAGCCGTTAGAGTGCGCATCGATCTGCACTTCGGATTCTGACCGGATATAGTAGATCATCCGGGTATCTTTGGAACACTCATTTCAACATACTACGATTTGGGACGTACTAATTCTATTCTCGAATACTATTTAGGACGGATAGTATGCAAATTGAGACGCAGCAATAGATCAAATTAACAGGGAAACACCCACTTATAATCACTGATTCCTACCACTGAAACCGGAGGCTCTACAGCCCTCTTCTCTCCCCTCAGAGGTGCAGCAGCCTCCTCCTCTCCACTCAGAGGTGCAGCAGCCTCCTCCTCTCCACTCAGAGGTGCAGCAGCCCTCTCCTCTCCACTCAGAGGTGCAGCAGCCTCCTCCTCTCCCCTCAGAGGTGCAGAAGCCTCCTCCTCTCCACTCAGAGGTGCAGCAGCCCTCTCCTCTCCCCTCAGAGGTGCAGCAGCCCTCTCCTCTCCACTCAGAGGTGCAGCAGCCTCCTCCTCTCCCCTCAGAGGTGCAGCAGCCCTCTCCTCTCCACTCAGAGGTGCAGCAGCCTCCTCCTCTCCCCTCAGAGGTGCAGAAGCCTCCTCCTCTCCACTCAGAGGTGCAGCAGCCCTCTCCTCTCCCCTCAGAGGTGCAGCAGCCCTCTCCTCTCCACTCAGAGGTGCAGCAGCCTCCTCCTCTCCCCTCAGAGGTGCAGCAGCCCTCTCCTCTCCACTCAGAGGTGCAGCAGCCTCCTCCTCTCCCCTCAGAGGTGCAGCAGCCCTCTCCTCTCCACTCAGAGGTGCAGCAGCCTCCTCCTCTCCACTCAGAGGTGCAGCAGCCTCCTCCTCTCCACTCAGAGGTGCAGAAGCCTCCTCCTCTCCACTCAGAGGTGCAGCAGCCTCCTCCTCTCCACTCAGAGGTGCAGAAGCCCCCTCCTCTCCACTCAGAGGTGCAGCAGCCTCCTCCTCTCCACTCAGAGGTGCAGAAGCCTCCTCCTCTCCACTCAGAGGTTCAGAAGCCTCCTCCTCTCCACTCAGAGGTGCAGCAGCCTCCTCCTCTCCACTCAGAGGTTCAGAAGCCTCCTCCTCTCCACTCAGAGGTGCAGCAGCCTCCTCCTCTCCACTCAGAGGTGCAGAAGCCGCAGCAGCCTCCTCCTCTCCACTCAGAGGTGCAGAAGCCGCAGCAGCCTCCTCCTCTCCACTCAGAGGTGCAGAAGCCTCCTCCTCTCCACTCAGAGGTGCAGCAGCCTCCTCCTCTCCACTCAGAGGTGCAGAAGCCTCCTCCTCTCCACTCAGAGGTGCAGCAGCCTCCTCCTCTCCACTCAGAGGTGCAGAAGCCTCCTCCTCTCCACTCAGAGGTTCAGAAGCCTCCTCCTCTCCACTCAGAGGTGCAGCAGCCTCCTCCTCTCCACTCAGAGGTTCAGAAGCCTCCTCCTCTCCACTCAGAGGTGCAGCAGCCTCCTCCTCTCCACTCAGAGGTGCAGAAGCCTCCTCCTCTCCACTCAGAGGTGCAGCAGCCTCCTCCTCTCCACTCAGAGGTTCAGAAGCCTCCTCCTCTCCACTCAGAGGTGCAGCAGCCTCCTCCTCTCCACTCAGAGGTTCAGAAGCCTCCTCCTCTCCACTCAGAGGTGCAGCAGCCTCCTCCTCTCCACTCAGAGGTGCAGCAGCCTCCTCCTCTCCACTCAGAGGTGCAGCAGCCTCCTCCTCTCCACTCAGAGGTGCAGCAGCCTCCTCCTCTCCCCTCAGAGGTGCAGCAGCCTCCTCCTCTCCACTCAGAGGTGCAGCAGCCTCCTCCTCTCCACTCAGAGGAGCAGAAGCCTCCTCCTCTCCACTCAGAGGTGCAGCAGCCTCCTCCTCTCCCCTCAGAGGTGCAGCAGCCTCCTCCTCTCCACTCAGAGGTGCAGAAGCCTCCTCCTCTCCACTCAGAGGTGCAGCAGCCTCCTCCTCTCCACTCAGAGGTGCAGAAGCCTCCTCCTCTCCACTCAGAGGTGCAGAAGCCTCCTCCTCTCCACTCAGAGGTGCAGAAGCCGCAGCAGCCTCCTCCTCTCCCCTCAGAGGTGCAGCAGCCTCCTCCTCTCCACTCAGAGGTGCAGAAGCCTCCTCCTATCCACTCAGAGGTGCAGAAGCCTCCTCCTCTCCACTCAGAGGTGCAGCAGCCTCCTCCTCTCCACTCAGAGGTGCAGAAGCCTCCTCCTCTCCACTCAGAGGTGCAGCAGCCTCCTCCTCTCCACTCAGAGGTGCAGCAGCCTCCTCCTCTCCACTCAGAGGTGCAGCAGCCTCCTCCTCTCCACTCAGAGGTGCAGCAGCCTCCTCCTCTCCACTCAGAGGTGCAGCAGCCCTCTCCTCTCCACTCAGAGGTGCAGCAGCCCGCTCCTCTCCACTCAGAGGTGCAGCAGCCTCCTCCTCTCCACTCAGAGGTGCAGCAGCCTCCTCCTCTCCCCTCAGAGGTGCAGAAGCCCCCTCCTCTCCCCTCAGAGGTGCAGAAGCCTCCTCCTCTCCACTCAGAGGTGCAGCAGCCCTCTCCTCTCCACTCAGAGGTGCAGCAGCCTCCTCCTCTCCACTCAGAGGTGCAGCAGCCTCCTCCTCTCCACTCAGAGGTTCAGAAGCCTCCTCCTCTCCACTCAGAGGTGCAGCAGCCTCCTCCTCTCCACTCAGAGGTGCAGAAGCCTCCTCCTCTCCACTCAGAGGTGCAGCAGCCTCCTCCTCTCCACTCAGAGGTGCAGCAGCCTCCTCCTCTCCACTCAGAGGTGCAGCAGCCTCCTCCTCTCCACTCAGAGGTTCAGAAGCCTCCTCCTCTCCACTCAGAGGTGCAGCAGCCTCCTCCTCTCCACTCAGAGGTGCAGCAGCCTCCTCCTCTCCACTCAGAGGTTCAGAAGCCTCCTCCTCTCCACTCAGAGGTGCAGCAGCCTCCTCCTCTCCACTCAGAGGTGCAGAAGCCTCCTCCTCTCCACTCAGAGGTGCAGCAGCCTCCTCCTCTCCACTCAGAGGTGCAGCAGCCTCCTCCTCTCCACTCAGAGGTGCAGCAGCCTCCTCCTCTCCACTCAGAGGTGCAGCAGCCTCCTCCTCTCCACTCAGAGGTGCAGCAGCCTCCTCCTCTCCACTCAGAGGTGCAGCAGCCCTCTCCTCTCCACTCAGAGGTGCAGCAGCCCTCTCCTCTCCACTCAGAGGTGCAGCAGCCTCCTCCTCTCCACTCAGAGGTGCAGCAGCCTCCTCCTCTCCCCTCAGAGGTGCAGAAGCCCCCTCCTCTCCCCTCAGAGGTGCAGAAGCCTCCTCCTCTCCACTCAGAGGTGCAGCAGCCCTCTCCTCTCCACTCAGAGGTGCAGCAGCCTCCTCCTCTCCACTCAGAGGTGCAGAAGCCTCCTCCTCTCCACTCAGAGGTTCAGAAGCCTCCTCCTCTCCACTCAGAGGTGCAGCAGCCTCCTCCTCTCCACTCAGAGGTGCAGCAGCCTCCTCCTCTCCACTCAGAGGTTCAGAAGCCTCCTCCTCTCCACTCAGAGGTGCAGCAGCCTCCTCCTCTCCACTCAGAGGTGCAGCAGCCTCCTCCTCTCCACTCAGAGGTGCAGCAGCCTCCTCCTCTCCACTCAGAGGTGCAGAAGCCTCCTCCTCTCCACTCAGAGGTGCAGCAGCCTCCTCCTCTCCACTCAGAGGTGCAGCAGCCTCCTCCTCTCCACTCAGAGGTGCAGCAGCCTCCTCCTCTCCACTCAGAGGTGCAGCAGCCTCCTCCTCTCCACTCAGAGGTGCAGCAGCCTCCTCCTCTCCACTCAGAGGTGCAGCAGCCCTCTCCTCTCCACTCAGAGGTGCAGCAGCCCTATCCTCTCCACTCAGAGGTGCAGCAGCCTCCTCCTCTCCACTCAGAGGTGCAGCAGCCTCCTCCTCTCCCCTCAGAGGTGCAGAAGCCCCCTCCTCTCCCCTCAGAGGTGCAGAAGCCTCCTCCTCTCCACTCAGAGGTGCAGCAGCCCTCTCCTCTCCACTCAGAGGTGCAGCAGCCTCCTCCTCTCCACTCAGAGGTGCAGAAGCCTCCTCCTCTCCACTCAGAGGTTCAGAAGCCTCCTCCTCTCCACTCAGAGGTGCAGCAGCCTCCTCCTCTCCACTCAGAGGTGCAGCAGCCTCCTCCTCTCCACTCAGAGGTGCAGCAGCCTCCTCCTCTCCACTCAGAGGTGCAGCAGCCTCCTCCTCTCCACTCAGAGGTTCAGAAGCCTCCTCCTCTCCACTCAGAGGTGCAGCAGCCTCCTCCTCTCCACTCAGAGGTGCAGCAGCCTCCTCCTCTCCACTCAGAGGTGCAGCAGCCTCCTCCTCTCCACTCAGAGGTGCAGCAGCCTCCTCCTCTCCACTCAGAGGTGCAGAAGCCTCCTCCTCTCCACTCAGAGGTTCAGAAGCCTCCTCCTCTCCACTCAGAGGTGCAGCAGCCTCCTCCTCTCCCCTCAGAGGTGCAGCAGCCTCCTCCTCTCCACTCAGAGGTGCAGCAGCCTCCTCCTCTCCAATCAGAGGTGCAGCAGCCTCCTCCTCTCCCCTCAGAGGTGCAGCAGCCTCCTCCTCTCCCCTCAGAGGTGCAGCAGCCTCCTCCTCTCCACTCAGAGGTGCAGCAGCCTCCTCCTCTCCACTCAGAGGTGCAGAAGCCTCCTCCTCTCCACTCAGAGGTGCAGCAGCCTCCTCCTCTCCCCTCAGAGGTGCAGCAGCCTCCTCCTCTCCACTCAGAGGTGCAGCAGCCTCCTCCTCTCCACTCAGAGGTGCAGAAGCCTCCTCCTCTCCACTCAGAGGTGCAGAAGCCTCCTCCTCTCCACTCAGAGGTGCAGCAGCCTCCTCCTCTCCACTCAGAGGTTCAGAAGCCTCCTCCTCTCCACTCAGAGGTGCAGCAGCCTCCTCCTTCTGTCCACTTTAGAGGTTCAGAAGCCTCCTCCTCTCAACTCAGAGGTGCAGCAGCCCCCTCCTCTCCACTCAGAGGTGCAGAAGCCTCCTCCTCTCCACTCAGAGGTGCAGAAGCCGCAGCAACCTCCTCCTCTCCCCTCAGAGGTGCAGCAGCCTCCTCCTCTCCACTCAGAGGTGCAGAAGCCTCCTCCTCTCCACTCAGAGGTGCAGAAGCCTCCTCCTCTCCACTCAGAGGTGCAGCAGCCTCCTCCTCTCCACTCAGAGGTGCAGAAGCCTCCTCCTCTCCACTCAGAGGTTCAGAAGCCTCCTCCTCTCCACTCAGAGGTGCAGCAGCCCCCTCCTCTCCACTCAGAGGTGCAGCAGCCCCCTCCTCTCCACTCAGAGGTGCAGAAGCCTCCTCCTCTCCACTCAGAGGTTCAGAAGCCTCCTCCTCTCCACTCAGAGGTGCAGCAGCCTCCTCCTCTCCACTCAGAGGTGCAGCAGCCTCCTCCTCTCCACTCAGAGGTGCAGAAGCCTCCTCCTCTCCACTCAAGAGGTGCAGCAGCCTCCTCCTCTCCACTCAGAGGTGCAGCAGCCTCCTCCTCTCCACTCAGAGGTGCAGCAGCCTCCTCCTCTCCACTCAGAGGTGCAGAAGCCTCCTCCTCTCCACTCAAGAGGTGCAGCAGCCTCCTCCTCTCCACTCAGAGGTTCAGAAGCCTCCTCCTCTCCACTCAGAGGTGCAGCAAGCCTCCTCCTCTCCACTCAGAGGTGCAGCAGCCTCCTCCTCTCCACTCAGAGGTGCAGAAGCCCTCTCCACTCCTGACACAGGCCTCTGGTTTCCTATGTTGTATATTAGAAGTTCAACATTTCCAAGCAATACCTTTCACAAAAAGTATGTTGAAAAAGTGCACGTTACCTTTCTTCCCCTTCCTCTTCTCTCCACGCCTACTGCCCTCATCCTCTGGAGTCCATGCTATCATAGTCACACATAAAGTTAATCTTAACTATGCAAAAACATTTATAACTCAACAATAAGCTATCCATATCCATGAGCTTGCATTATATCAGCACCAAAGATCAATTGCTCAAAAACTGCTTATTCGACCTCAGTGTGCATGTATTATGTGGTAGTTTAGTCAGATATAGTGTGAAGTCAAATAAATGTTGGCAAGCAAACCATACCTTGTAAAAGAACATTGTACAGCATGTTCATTTTTTTCAGCATTACTTCTGTCTCGTTTGACATGCTGTACGGGCTGATGACCTTTGTGTCGTATCTTGACATTTTATCATTATAGACCCCATAAAATAAAAGGGGTCTGAGTCCAAGGGCCTTCATTTTCTCCATCTGAAAGAGGTGAAGAATCATTCTTTGTCATGTCATAGATGAAAAATCTACGCGAGTAGTCTGAAAATACTTATCATTAAGAAATATGCCATTAGTGACACTGGGGTTGGTAAGGGATATACCTGGTTCAAAGCCATAAAAATACATTTTACCAACCTCAAACATGACATATTGGTTTTACAATAGTTGAAGTTATGATGCAGTATAAATATATGACAGAAATATTTAGACAATTAGAATATGTAAATAAATTAGAACTTGACCTTGTAAATTATGAGGATATGCCTGCAGTCCAATCACACATTATTTACTAATATACCGTACTGTTAAGCAATATAGCACACTGACTAGAAGGATGTCACTTGCACTCAAGCCTATCGTTTCTCACGGAACAGGACCACAGAATCAGCAACAGGCACTGGGACACTTCTTGAGACCAAAGCCAGGAAAGACCAGAGAACATGGAATACTTTTGTCTTGTTCATTACGTACAAATGAGGTTTCAACAGCGGGAGAGGGGGATTTGTCTTTTTTATTATGTATATACCTTTGGCATTACACTTTGACAATGAGTAATATCTGGCAAGGAACAGTTCTCAGGGGAAAAAATGGCCCACTGATGCTGGGGGTCAGGGGTGAATGGGCAGTCTAGTTTGAGCTGATAGCAAGCCAACAGTTACTCAAATAACCACTTGTTATAGCCTAGGTGTGCTAAAAAGCATCTCTGAATGTACAACACATCTACATTGAAGAAGATCAGCCACTACAACAGTAGATCGTACTAGATGTCACTCCTGCAAGCTTAAAAAAGGACACCGAGGTTAAAATTTGCATAGGCTCAGCAAAATTGGTCAATAAAAGATTGGCCAAATGTTGCCTTGTCTGATGACTCTCGATTTCTCTAGTTACATTCTGATTGTGGGTCAGAGTTTCGTGTAAAAGCCATAAAAGCTTGACTAAAGACTTCCAGGAAATTTAGGAGATAAGATAAGAAATACTTTTTTAATCCCAAAAGAAATTTCTTTGTCACAAATGAGCTGTCACAATTTCCATGCCTCGAAAAAATCGGCAAAGGGATGTATGTCGCACTCTGGAAAAACAACAAAAAGACAAAAATGGTGTCCCAATGTTTTTTTTTTTTTTTTTTAATCTCTGCCCTCTCAAGCACTCCCTTTACATTGGTGGTGACTACCCTTTCATTCATAGAGCATGTTTGACGATGACATAACGACGATAACATAAAAAAAAAAAATTAAAGGACAAAAAGAAAAGGTAAAAAATGAAAAAGAGAAAATAGAAACCGTCTCATGTTGTTCTCAAGATGTTGGTGCTGATTTTCTCAGAACGCAGGGATATGTGTCATGCATGTATCCTCAAGAAAAACAGTTACTTACTGTGACCTCAATGTCATCTAGAAAATGGCTGACATTTCTGTTGCGCCTCATCCCCTTTGCCCACTCGGCACTCTTCTTCTTAAAGGAGTTGAGGCGCTTCTGCGACCTTGTTTTGGCCGGCGTGTTTCTCTGAGCCATTTTCTGAAAAAGAACAGATTAATAAAAATGATTAATTTAGTGATTGCCCAATAATTCTGCAGATATTGAGTATGCTAACGTCATAGACATATTGAACATCTTTGATTGCCTGTATAGGTCTCTACTAGAGGTGTGAATCTTCACTGATCTACCGATTCTATTACGATTATCATGTCAGCGATTCGATATCTCGATGCATCACGATGCGTCAAATAAATTTTTCTATTAAAGTCATGTAGGATATTTAATTCATAGCTGTTCAAGCTTCAAAAACAAAACATTCTGCAGTGCTCTAATACAAAATACAATGGAAACATAAAACTACAGCACTAAGCACATGGCACTTCCTGAATGTGCAAAACTTAACAGAATATGTAAAGAGAAATGTTGTTAGGCATACATTTAATTGTAAACAGAAATAATAGATTATGGCCCGGTGGATTATTGATGCAGCAGCGTCCATGTCCACGATTCGATGCATCGAGTATTTGATTAATTTCAATACCCCTAGTCTCTACTAGGGCAGGGTCATATAAAAAGTATTTGATTTTATGATTGTAATCAACCTGAACTATGGTCTCTCAAACACAAGTGGCAGCACTTGAGTTGCCAGTCCAGGGTATTTGTCAATGCTGCTAACAGAAAACATTACATTTTCCATTAAGAGTCTCTATGGATTTCTAGTTATGATATGTTATCAAATAGTGAGGTATAAGCTAGGAGCATTTGCAATAGGCCTAGAACTAGTAAATCACAGCTGTGGCGCAGTAATCATGATCATTGATAATATCTCAAATCATTTTGTTAGCATTAGTTAAGCACAGCCTCATTTCAAAATATCTTCCCTGTAAGATCTTTTTTAGTTGATGTCACAATAGAATGCAACCCAACGTCAACTAAAAAGAGTTACATGTTAAATTATTGACTTTATAGATCTTATTAATAACTTAATTCCACATTTATTTGCATATTTGTCACATTATATGTGTTACTTTCTACACTTAAGATCTACACATGTGGCAGCAGAAATTTTAACAAGGGTGACGCATGACTTTCTGCAACCAGTAGAATCAGAATATTAATGGAAGCAGAATGTGTGTAACACTAACACTAAATGGGTACACAGAATAACATTTGTAGGCATCTACCTATAAAAACATCCTCAATTTGGACTAGCCTACCCCATTCTTAACACAGATTGGGTTCGATTGCAAATGCCTGTCTGACCAGAACTTGCTATCGTAGCTTAACAGCGTTTTAAATCCGCGTTTATAGACCACCACGTAAGACAGTCATAGCATAGACATTGGTTTCTGAATGTAATATTCGAGCTGATGCAATAAAGCATGCCAAAAAAAGTACTTTTGCATTTAGCAAATCCAGTACCTCACCTTACCACACCTGCTTATCCGATTTGAGGAAGGAATCACATCCGGTGAACTGCGTAGACGTAGGAAGGAATCACATCGGTGGATAATGGTTCGTTTCGGCGTTGACATACACGCGGAATCACATCGGGGGATAATGGTTCGTTTCGGCGTTGACATACACGCGGCATCATGGTTCGTTTCGCCGTTGACATACACGTGGAATCACATCGGGGGATAATGGTTCGTTTCGCCGTTGACATACACGCGGAATCACATCGGGGGATAATGGTTCGTTTCGCCGTTGACATACACGTGGAATCACATCGGGGGATAATGGTTCGTTTCGCCGTTGACATACACGCGGCATCACGTCGGGGGATAATGGTTCGTTTCGCCGTTGACATACACATGGAATCACATCGGGGGATAATGGTTCGTTTCGGCATTGACATACACGCGGAATCACGTCGGGGGATAATGGTTCGTTTCGCCGTTGACATACACGCGGAATCACATCGGGGGATAATGGTTTGTTTCGCCGTTGACATACACGCGGAATCACATCGGGGGATAATGGTTCGTTTCGCCGTTGACATACACGCGGAATCACGTCGGGGGATAATGGTTCGTTTCGCCGTTGACATACACGCGGAATCACATCGGGGGATAATGGTTCGTTTCGCCGTTGACATACACATGGAATCACATCGGGGGATAATGGTTCGTTTCGGCGTTGACATACACATGGAATCACATCGGGGGATAATGGTTCGTTTCGGCATTGACATACACGCGGAATCACGTCGGGGGATAATGGTTCGTTTCGCCGTTGACATACACGCGGAATCACGTCGGGGGATAATGGTTCGTTTCGGCATTGACATACACGCGGAATCACGTCGGGGGATAATGGTTCGTTTCGCCGTTGACATACACGCGGAATCACATCGGGGGATAATGGTTCGTTTCGGCATTGACATACACGCGGAATCACGTCGGGGGATAATGGTTCGTTTCGCCGTTGACATACACGCGGAATCACATCGGGGGATAATGGTTCGTTTCGCCGTTGACATACACGCGGAATCACATCGGGGGATAATGGTTCGTTTCGCCGTTGACATACACGTGGAATCACATCGGGGGATAATGGTTCGTTTCGCCGTTGACATACACGCGGCATCACGTCGGGGGATAATGGTTCGTTTCGCCGTTGACATACACATGGAATCACATCGGGGGATAATGGTTCGTTTCGGCATTGACATACACGCGGAATCACGTCGGGGGATAATGGTTCGTTTCGCCGTTGACATACACGCGGAATCACATCGGGGGATAATGGTTTGTTTCGCCGTTGACATACACGCGGAATCACATCGGGGGATAATGGTTCGTTTCGCCGTTGACATACACGCGGAATCACGTCGGGGGATAATGGTTCGTTTCGCCGTTGACATACACGCGGAATCACATCGGGGGATAATGGTTCGTTTCGCCGTTGACATACACATGGAATCACATCGGGGGATAATGGTTCGTTTCGGCGTTGACATACACATGGAATCACATCGGGGGATAATGGTTCGTTTCGGCATTGACATACACGCGGAATCACGTCGGGGGATAATGGTTCGTTTCGCCGTTGACATACACGCGGAATCACGTCGGGGGATAATGGTTCGTTTCGGCATTGACATACACGCGGAATCACGTCGGGGGATAATGGTTCGTTTCGCCGTTGACATACACGCGGAATCACATCGGGGGATAATGGTTCGTTTCGGCATTGACATACACGCGGAATCACGTCGGGGGATAATGGTTCGTTTCGCCGTTGACATACACGCGGAATCACATCGGGGGATAATGGTTCGTTTCGCCGTTGACATACACATGGAATCACATCGGGGGATAATGGTTCGTTTCGGCATTGACATACACGCGGAATCACGTCGGGGGATAATGGTTCGTTTCGCCGTTGACATACACGCGGAATCACATCGGGGGATAATGGTTTGTTTCGCCGTTGACATACACGCGGAATCACGGTTCGTTTCGCCGTTGACATACACGCGGAATCACATCGGGGGATAATGGTTCGTTTCGGCGTTGACATACACGCGGAATCACCGTTCGTTTCGGCGTTGACATACACGCGGAATCACATCGGGGGATAATGGTTCGTTTCGCCGTTGACATACACGCGGAATCACATCGGGGGATAATGGTTCGTTTCGCCGTTGACATACACGCGGAATCACGGTTCGTTTCGCCGTTGACATACACGCGGAATCACATCGGGGGATAATGGTTCGTTTCGGCGTTGACATACACGCGGAATCACCGTTCGTTTCGGCGTTGACATACACGCGGAATCACATCGGGGGATAATGGTTCGTTTCGCCGTTGACATACACGCGGAATCACGGTTCGTTTCGCCGTTGACATACACGCGGAATCACATCGGGGGATAATGGTTCGTTTCGGCGTTGACATACACGCGGAATCACCGTTCGTTTCGGCGTTGACATACACGCGGAATCACATCGGGGGATAATGGTTCGTTTCGCCGTTGACATACACGCGGAATCACATCGGGGGATAATGGTTCGTTTCGCCGTTGACATACACGCGGAATCACATCGGGGGATAATGGTTCGTTTCGCCGTTGACATACACGCGGAATCACATCGGGGGATAATGGTTCGTTTCGCCGTTGACATACACGTGGAATCACATCGGGGGATAATGGTTCGTTTCGCCGTTGACATACACGTGGAATCACATCGGGGGATAATGGTTCGTTTCGCCGTTGACATACACGTGGAATCACATCGGGGGATAATGGTTCGTTTCGGCGTTGACATACACGCGGAATCACATCGGGGGATAATGGTTCGTTTCGGCGTTGACATACACGCGGAATCACATCGGTGGATAATGGTTCGTTTCGGCGTTGACATACACGCGGAATCACCGTTCGTTTCGGCGTTGACATACACGCGGAATCACATCGGGGGATAATGGTTCGTTTCGGCGTTGACATACACGCGGAATCACATCGGGGGATAATGGTTCGTTTCGGCGTTGACATACACGCGGAATCACATCGGGGGATAATGGCTCGTTTCACTCAGAACATTTAACATAGTCATGTTGCTTTTTTGACTTTTCATAAACAGCTGAAGGAGCTGCGGTGCGACACCTAATGCCTTTTATATTAATTACATTTCTTCATATAGCAGACGCTTTTATCCAAAGTGACTTACAAATGAGAACAATAAAAGCAGTTAAACTAAAAGTAGGACAACAATATACAAGTGCTATGACGCTTCTCAATTCAATGTGTGTTCCCTTTCGAGAGATCTCTCGTATTGCAGGCTAGCTTACGCTATGGGAAAACTCCTTTTCTCGAGAATATTGAAGCCAAATTTTTAATAACGCAGTGAAGCTGCACAGCAGACACGGATGAGCATCTAGCGCAGTCATTGGCTGTGCTGCGGCAACTACACGAACCTATGGCGAGGCGGCTCAGACGCTTGAACCAATCAGGGCACTTCCCGCCCTGGCACGTCATAGTCCACCAAAATGGGCGTGGCTTATGGCTATAATCGCCCATACCCAGAGAAACCCAGATTTTTTTCTCATTCA